TTTTGGGGGGGATTGCCCTCGTAATCCATGAATTAATTTACTTGCGCCAAAAAATATTTTCTTTTCCTTTAAAGACATTTTAAACGATATTTATTTTATGAACTCTTGATAACGTGACCTTCGAACTTCGACACCGGTTTCGAGCTTTGGCGACAGATATATCGCGCATGCACAGCTGTTTCCCGCTATGATGGAACCGAGCCACGTCTGTTGCAGAGAGGTTTTCCTTCTTTACAATACATATTTTTTTAATTCTAACCTTCATGGTACCGTATACTAGGATTAAGCCCATTTTGTTTTATACGAGAACAGGTACTTTCTTTAGTTCATGCACTCACATGTGATTCTCGAGGTTACTGGAAACTTGCTTTGCCTTTCTAAAAAGATAATCAAATTGGAGCTGCGAAAATTGGCTCTATGCCAGCTGCCCGAATGACACTCACGTCACGTGATACACAATTTGCCAAAAAAGTTATCTCTTCCGACGTCGGTGCAAAACTCGCCTTTTTTAGCGGAATCGTTGTATGAAATTCCCTGACTTTTCCAGATTTTGACTAAAACACTTAAATTCCCTGAATTTTTTTGGTCAATTTCCGAATTCCCTGACTTTTTCCAGTTTTCCAGGTAGCGTGGCAACTCTGTTATATGCAACTTTAACCATATATATTTTCAAGTAATTTTGAAAAATAGAAGGTACTAGAGATTTCTCAGTGGCTGGGGGAAAAATATATAATCCAAAGAGAGCATCAGTTGTCCTATTGCTCATCTGTACAACTACTTTCTCGGAAAGTGTCAAAACTGATAGAGTTCCCAAGTGTTTCTTTTGAGAAAATAATTTATATCAAGCTATCATCAGTTACATTTGCATTCAATCCAAAAGAAGAGATGATTATTGTTCAAGAAAAGATGTACGCGGGCCAAGAATCCATTAAATAAGAGATGAAAGCTGTTCAAGAAAAGAATCAAATAGAGTTTAATAGGAAATGAAATGGAAAATTTCAAGGCTCTGGAAGACAGAATAGACACAGTTGAAAATAAAATTGAAGAAACTGATGAAAGAGTTTATGCTGCCGAAATTTGAGCTGAAGAGTTTCTGCTACCAAACAACAAATCACAGAAAGAGTTTCCACTGTAGAACAACAAATCACAGAAAGAGTTTCTTTTTTGTCACAAAGGACATTGACAGCTTCAAAAAATCTATACTGATAGCAGGAAACAATTCTGACATCTTTAAATTTTGATCTCTGGCTTCTCCACCCTCTCTGAAACTATCCATATATGATGCACAGACCTTCTGGCAAGTGTAAAAGATTCAGTTCTGTGTAGTGGCAAGCACAAATGGATGGTTTTCTAAAACTTATTCTTGTCATCTCACTGTATCTCTGAGAGCAGACACGGTGGATATCCTTCAAACTCTGCCCAAAAATCAGAGGCTAAACTTTGAAGCTTCATCTGGCACTTTAGAGAGAAGTGTTTAAAAGACTATAGCTGGCTAAAGCTGAAATCTTCCCAACAGAAGCCCCTCAAAACTCTTCAACAGCTCATCACAGATGTTGTCTCATCTTGCTTTTAGACTTTTTATCCAACAAAAACAATGGAAGTCCTCTCCCTGCAATATTTCATCAGTAACATCCGGGATCCTGATATACAGAAAGCTCTGCAAATGGCAGATGTCAAGGACCTAAACAGCTTAGTGTATACCATGAAATTCGAGACAACCCAGCAAACAACTTGCAGATACCGTCACCCTGTCAGAGCTGCTCTTGTCCAGAATTCAGTGGATCAACTGACTGCTCATGTATATGATTTAATCAAGCAAGTCAGTGCCTTAAGATCAAACAGGAGAGGTAACAAACTGACCCTAAATACTGGAACTATGGTGGTGAAAACCACGTAGAAAGGAATTGCAGAACACCCCAAGGCAAGAAAAATAAGACACTTCCCAGCAAGTAAATTAGTTCGCATAAATGTTACACATGGGAGAAAAACCACAAAAACACCCATGAAGCCAGGCCATTTGAGGAATTCAAACTACCAGTGATCAGCAACTTTACCATCCAGCCGCTGTTTGACCTCTTCCATCACAAGACCTCTTCACAAGCAAAAGTTCTTGTGAACAAAAAAAAATTTGAGGATGCACTTAAGAAACTGAAAGAAGCTTTAATGTGACAATCCTGATGTATCCTCAACTCGATCAGGAAAGACCAGTTGGAAAAGACGGCAACCTTAAACCCATAACTGTTTTAATGGAGTCTTCAAACAGAAAACCTACCTGGCAGGACATTTAACCTCAAGACCTAAAACTAAACAATGCTGGGTTCTCTGGGACACACTCCATATTAGAAACAGTGTCTTGTACCAGAAGTTCAAAACGGATGATGTTATAGGCATTCCAATGTCAGCTGATACTTCCAAGATCCCGGATGTTCTTAAAAAATTGCATAGCAGTCTGAGTGGAGGCCACTTCAGAGTAACTCTATGTGGAGTTCGAGTGTCTCTACTGGAGCAGGCTAATGAGCAAAAGTGATGCCTATCTTGATATGCTTGTGGTGTTTGGAAATGACCGAAGAAACACAGCTGAAGGAAGCTGCAATCTTACAATGAGGAGCCCATTTTGAACGCATTAGCATGAGCATCCTAGGATCTCTGTCACTAACTGCCGATGGCAACAAATACATCCTCATTGTCACTGATTACTTAACAAAGTGGGCTAAATCTTATCCTATCCCTGATCATGAGGCTATCATGGTAGCAGAGGTGATAACATAGCACTGGATTTCGATGTTTGGAGAGCCTCTTTAGTTAGATTCTTATCAAAGAAGAAGTTTTACCTCCACTGTAATTAAAAACACTTTGCCAACTACTCAGCAGAGGCAAAGCCCAAATGATACCCTTACATCCATAGTTAGAAGACATGGTAGAGAAGTTTAATGGAACCATTCTTAATAACCTCTAACTGATGGTTTCCGGATACCAACAGGTCTGGAACCAGAATTTACCTCTGTTTGTTACCAGGATTTACCTTATTGACCTACTGCAGTGCTGTTCAAGAAACTACTGCCTATTCTCAATCCCAGATGCTCTTTGGTCATGATCTTTGTCTGCCTTGTGACCTCCAGATGCACCTTCATCACCTGAAGAGTACATTCAAGATCTCCAGGCATGGTTTGAATGGATGCACAATTTTGCAGGAGAGCAAGTCAAATTGGCAACGGAGAAGATAAAGACCCAATACGACTTGAGAGCTACAGGTCATCAATTCAACAAAGGTGACAAGGGGTGGTTACAGAATCAGATTTGAAGGAAAGGACTCTCTCCTAAACTACCGTCCACTGTCCTAAACAGGCTGAAGGATGTCATAGTTTGGATCTGTAAGTCATCAAATTCTAAGCTGAATATCGTTCATTACGACAGGCTAACTCCATACTATAGCATATAGTCCCCATACTGTATGCAATGTAAATGATATACTAAGACTATGGTCCCATTTGCAATACAAATCTGTAAAGTCATGCATTTAAAATTTATTCACTTAGTGCGATTTGCTATTTATTGAAATTATTGTTTTGGTGTTTGATTTGTTATTTACTGAAATTACTGTTTTAGTATTACACTGATTTTTCTTAGTTGTAAGTATGGTTTTCTGTCCAGGGATTGTACTACCCAGGACGAGCAGTCCTTGAGAAGGGGGCAATGTTACGAATTTTGTACATATATAAATAATTTTAGTGAAATTGCTGTGTTTTACATTTAATGAATGTAACATGAAATGCTTGAAAGAAAAGGTTCTTTGACAGAAAAATAAGAATACAAGGGCAAGTCTATTTAACATTGAGTAAATGGCTATCTCGCTAAATTGTTGCGATATCACCAAGCTGGCAATTCACAAAATATGGGAAGAAATCGTCAGAAATTACCAAATTTGGCCACAATTTGGTCTGCTCCCTGTATAACAGTAACTGATCCCTATATGTAACTATAACCATATTTAGCCCTTATGTAACTTTAACCATATATGCCTTCCAATAATTTCAAGAAACGGAAGGTCCTAAAGATTTCTTAACAGCCCAAGGAAAACTATATATGTTCAGAAGTCAGTTTTATTTCAGAGCTGACTTTGAAGCATTGAGATATTTTCGTGTGAGCTTTGCTTTTTGGATATGCTTTGCTTTGCACTGTGTTTAACGTTCTTAGTTTGGAGTGGTAACTACTGTGCTCTGCTATACTGAGAACAGCTATACAATTCTACAACAAGTAGTTCTGTGGAAAGTTCCTGAACTATGTTCTTTTTTTGGGGGGGGAAGGGAAATAAATTCTATCGAGCTATCATTGGTTCTATATACATTCAATCCACTACAAATCCATACGCACCCAGCAATATTTATTTATGGAACAAAAGAATCAAATTCTTACCATATTTGCCTAAACACCTTTTTTATTGCCTCCATTGTAGTAGCAATGTAAATTTCTTGATTATGTAGGCTTATGATAAGATATAGCACAAATACATCCTCAATATATCTTGAATGGGTACATGAAATGAAATTTGGTGACCCAGAAAGCCAGCTCTAAACTGAGGAACATCTAGTTATCCAATCTACTAAGACACGATGAATACAAAATGAACCATTTTATTACAAAAATATGACATTTTCTGTCAATATTTTAATGACTCTAAAAAAATTAGGAGATTTTCTTCTTTGTTTATACATATCCAATTAATGTAGCATTAATTACATTAGATCAATTATTTTCAATAACTGTATTTTGAACAATCAAAATGGAATACTGTGAATATGCAGCTAAACTATTTAATTCAGTGAAAATTTTAAAGTGGTTATGTTGGTTGAAAAAGATCACACGCACTTTATAATCGATAAGTTTGGCGAGAACTGTATTTATGAAATTTTACAAATATTTTTACAACACTAATTTATCTTTGATAACTTCAGTTATGGACAAAACTGTCAGAGTATACCAGTATTACATTACTTATTAAGTTTTTTTTTTTTTTTTTTTTTTTTTTTAACAGACATCTTAAGAATTTCATACTTGGTATATGTGTGCAATATTACATAAAAACCAGTGCCAAGTCAGTAAAATATTTTTAGGCCCAAATATGAGTAAAAATTTTAAGTGTCATTCATCTGCTTCAAATTTCATCTGCTTCAAATTTCTCCAAAATTCAGTATAATTAAATATTAAAAATATTTTAATATTTATTCAAATGTAACAATCCAAGCATATTCACAAAACTCACATGATCCTTGCAGCAAAAAAAGAATACTTAACATCAATGCATTTCATGCACAAATATATTTTACTCGTACAATTTCTCACTAAAATATGAACAGTTTGAAGGAATAAATTTCAATACTTATTCCTATATATACAGTATATTTATATTAACAATTGAAAAATGTCAGCTTGAAAAATTTTAGAATTATGTAAAGATTTCATATGAAATTTCTATTTCAGAAAATAGTTTACAATACTTTTTTCCCTTACAATGCAATATACACTGATCAACGTAAATCAGGAGTGTCTTGAATGGATTTTTTGACTCGTAACAAAATTGTAGTATACCACTGATCTAAGCGAGATATCGAATCAAATTCTTTTACAGCATCTGTGAATCCATCAACATCTTGCTCCTCCAATTTCTCAATTAAGCACTAGAGGCAGGAAAAAATAATTTTTATATATTCAATATTACAAATGCAAATACTCTAAATGAATGGAAAATGCATATATATATATTTCCAATCATTATGAATATATATACAAAATATTTGAAAACTGTTTCAAAAAATAAGTGAGCTCACAGTGCCTATCAGGCAAACAATATTTACAATAGAACCATGAGCACTCAAGAATCTAGTAAAGTTAAACAAATGTCCATGCTGAACTTTCAATAATGGGGGAGGGGGGAATCTGCCATTTCCTCATACAGGATTCGTACACATTTCCTTACATGAAAATTAAGGACCATCAAAGAAAAAATTAAGGACCTATCAGCAAAGAAAAAAATGAATAGAATAAAGCAATTATCCATACAACTGACTACATGCTTGTAATTTCACTTTAAGAAACTAACAGAAGTGTGTATTATGACTATTATTAAATTCAATTTAATACTTACCATAAAAATTTGAAAATTAACTAACTCCTACAAGTTATGAAGTAGATACATAAATTAGGAACATAATCTCTTGAAAACATGTATAAGTGTATTTTACACTAATAACAGTCACTATTTTAGAGATTTACAGGTTTATTATTAACTTATTGATATTTTTTAAACACAGTCAAATACTATTATATCACAGTAAGAATATTTTGCAGATTAAAATAACTGATTTGTAAACATACAATTTATTTCCTTGATTTTTTGAAAGATACAGAATAAAAATGTACAATAAAAGATACAAATATTTGTGTTTTTTTAATCAGAAATCTTTCAGCTATTTTAATATAATTATTTATGTCTATTTCCTTTTCTTTAACTATTTTCTAAGTTCATTTGCTTTGATAAAAAATCAATGTTTCTGCTGGTCCAGCTTCACTGCTAAAGCATCTACTTCTTCATTAACATCCTTTAATGTCCCTTTGAGAATTTTTTCTTCTGCTTCATATAATAATTTCTTCGCCAAATATTTCTTTCCTCTTTGAATTCAGATTTAGTTAAAGATTTTTGTTCTTCTAAATACTGACTTCTAAATAACGAAATCCACTTCTTGCGAAGATGCTGCTGATCTCATTTCTTATTAATTTCGATATTAATCACCTCCAGAAAATTATGTACAAATACTGCTTGAAAAATATGAGAGTCACTTAAATTTTCAATTTCAATTGCTTTATTTACAGAGAAGCCCCTTTCCACCGAGCCTGTTCATGTGACAAGTAAGAATACTTGTACATGAATACTGAATAGTGAAAATAACATTTTTTACTATATATAATATATATAATTTATTTTTAAACATATGATTGTTATATTATCTCCTAATTTAATAAGTAGAAATTATTTTAAAGAGTGAATCCATCTGTAGTTATATTTGAAGATTATACATATTAATATATAAAACATACAAAGTCCGAGCTCGGACATCAATATCTGGAATGTCTAAACCGACATCAAGCCACCACCAACCAATTTTTTAGGGCTTTTTTGAAGGAAGGGTATGCTTTCGCCACGCGCATAATTTTTTTCCTAATCATAAAAAAACGTTAGGTAGAACTGCACCAAATTGATCGAAAATCCCCGCCCCCTCTTTTTTTTAATCCAGAACTGCGCGACGTTTCCTGTCCCCCATTCTTTCAGAAGATTGGGGCTACAAGAAGTCGTTTGACGTGAATACTTGATAGTGAAAATATACCTTTTTTACTATTATATATAATAAATATAATTATTTCTAAACATATGAGATTATTTATCTCTAATTTAATTAAAGTAGAATTATTTTAAAAGAGTGAATCAACTGGTGTATATTTGAAGATTGATACAATCTATAAATATACATACAAGTCCGAGATCGGACATCCATATCTGAATGTCTAAAATCCGGACCTCAAGCCACCACCAACCAATTTTTAGGCTTTTTGCGGAAGGGGTTGCGAACGCATGCGCATTAGATTTTTTTCCAACTAAAAAACGGTAGGTACGACTGCGCCAATTGATCGAAATCCCGTCCCCTCTTTTTAAATCACGAACGCACGACGTTCTGTCCCCCGTTTCTTTCAAGATGATTGGTGCTACAAGAAGTCGTTTATTGCCATAATGGACATTCTATTGAGACTGCAACCTTTATTTTCGTTTTTATCATATTGCAAAAACCGTGCATTAAAACAAATATTAATTAAAGTTGGCGGTGGAAAAAAATAAATTTCCTTTACACTCATTTAAAGTTTGTGATGCTTAAAGGAATGATGAGCCATCTATTTTATTCTGTAAGAATTAAAAACTTCAATTGTAGATTTTAGTCGTGATATATATTAACAGGTGCCACTCAAACAGGGAATGAAACCTGACTTTTCCGGTTTTCCAGTATGCTGAGAAAATTCCAGTCTATCCGACTTCACGTTGGCTGTGCTAAGGTAATTAATTTGGTCTTACTTTACTGTGTAGTAATTCATAATCCAGAGGCATTTTTCTTAATTTTCTTGCACCTTTGCTTGATAATTTTGTTTACTTTTCCGCTTAAAAAACTTAATAAAATTAGATATATACCTGGATAACAACAGTACGTTTTATTTAATTATACCATGATCATCCCCAGTTCAACACGAGGCTTCCGGTTCTTATAATCACACACAACGCAATACTAAAGTTAGGCTAGATTTTAGGTAATTTACTTTGTGTGAGTGTATTCTTAAAAGGCACCTTAACACTTGAAAACACAAATATAATATAATAGGAGTTGTTTTCCTCCACTGAAGATTGAGATTAGAATCTGCCCATCTGGAAAAAGAAGGCTTTTTTGCAGACATTCTGCACAAAACGAAAGAAATCTATTTAATATATTTTTTACAAATTAGTATTTTTATATATTTCGCAGTATAAGAAAAATCTGTGCATTAATTTCGTGATGTCATCATACTGCTAGAATAATTTCAGATTATGCCAAAGAAAATTTCCTGAAATTTGGAAATATTATTTCTAATGATAATAAATTTAGAGGGAAGAAGGAAAATTAAATGATGAAAACATAAAAATAATTACTTAAAATTATTAGAATATCAACGATATTTAGCGAATATAGTTATATTACTGGTATCCTACAGATTGATTACATTCTTTTATTTACTGCAAAATGACAGTATTATTAAAAAAAAAAAAAGATTTGCGGTAAAATCCTAGTATACGATATGACTTCGCATGATTTGAAAATTGTCCCAAGAATAAAATGACCCTCATTTCACCAACCCGCTGTACCATACTGGAGATTATTCTGACCAAAGAAAGTCTATGTAAAACGGAGGAAATTTCTAAAGGGATTTGACGACGGAACGGCCAGAATTTCCCTCTCCGCGATGTACAGGAAATTGAAAACACGTGTTGAGAAGAAACGTTCTTGACAAAAAAAACTACGAAATCCGTTTTTAATTATTGTGAAAAAATCCAAGAAGAAACGTTTATCAAAACTTTTTTTTGGTTTTTGCAATAATTTTAAAACGATTTCGTAGATCCCCCCCCTCCTCAAAATAACTATCCATGAATTAATTTACTTTCACACCAAAAAATATTTTCTTTTCCTTTAGAGTTTAAAGAAATTTTAAACGATATTCATTTTATGAATCTTGATAAGGTGACCTTCGAACTCGACACCGGTCGAGCTTTGGCGACAGATATATTGGGCATGCACAGCTGTTTCCCGCTAATGGAACAGAGCCACGTCTGTGCAGGAGGTTTTCCTTCTTTCTTTACACTACATAATTTTTAATTCTAACCTTCATGGTACCGTATACTAGGTTAACCATTTTGGTTTTATACGAGAACAGGTACTTTCTTTAGTTTATGCACTGCAATGCGATTCGAGGTTTGGAAACCAAAGTTGGGGCAAACTTCTTTGCCTTTCTAAAAAGACTCAATTGGAGCTGCAAAAATTGGCTTATGCCAGCACCCGATGACACCTCACGTGATACGCAAAAAAAGTGATCTCTTCCGACGTCGGCGCAAAACCGCCTTTTGGCGGGATCGTTGTATGAAATTCCCCGACTTTTTCCAGATTTTGACTAAAACACTTAAATTCCCTGAACTTTCCCTGAATTTTTTGATCAATTTGCCGATTCCCTGACCTTTTCCGGTTTTCCGATTTCCAGTAGTGTGGCAACCCTTGTAATATATCAGTTTGGAATAGTAAATTGATAGATTAATGACATACACAAAACTGATACATAATCAACGTATCAATTTCGGATTTGTAGCTCACCTTATAGTTTTTGTCTAGATAAATATGAACAATCTTCTTAGACAGCAGAATGGTTTTAACTTTCATTTACCATTTTAGTAAACAGTTCTAATTTTAATTATAAATTATCTTTATTAAATCTAAAAATTGGACTATAATCGTTCTAAATCACACTAATTTATTGCAATATTTCCATTTAAGCTTTCCATTTTTAATCATTGAAGTTATTTTAGGTTATTTAACTTTGTTATGAATCTATTTTAATACTAGCGAACTTTATTTATTAACTTTATTATATTTAATACTAGAAACAAACTTTTAACAATTCCATATTCTAATACTAGAAATATTTATTCTGTTTTTCCACCTGATGTACTTGGCAACATTTAATTTCTACTACACATTAATTAATAAATTGATAATTATGAGCGTCATCAGAATTTTATATTAACCAAAAAAAATTCAAACCCCGTATATTCATATCCTGATTTCAGTCTCCCTTTTAATCCATTCCTTTTCACATATGTTACTGTATCAAGTTTTCATGTATGTAAATTTATATATTGCATTGGATTTATGGCCAATTTATATTTAAATGATAATTTTTACAATTGCTTCATAACTCTAGTTAACGAAGATATTTCTAACACCTGCAAAGCTTAATCTTCAGCATGGCTTATTTTCTAACCTAGTTTCAGGTGACTATTTGTAAATTAGTTCTTAAATTATTTATTAACAGATCTCGCTAAATCACGCTAATATTT